TTACCAAAGACACATTTACACTGTTTAGAATAGATGGTCATCGACAGCTCTTCAAGAATGAAAAATCTTTTCCTCGTAACTTGATGGAATTCATGTAATAATACGTGAATTATTAATTTTGCAGAAGATTGTATGTACTCTTATTTAGGAGGCCTAGTTTGAAAACAACACAATGGACAACCAAAAACGGTCACAGTCATAACAGGAAGCATACTTAAACGTGTGACGCACCGAAACCGTTGCTCGGAGGCATTAGCACGGCGTTAAGGAATTAATGCTGCTCGCCAAGCGCAACGTGAAACAAAAAGGAAAGTAGCTGAAAGCGTAAATTCAATTGGATAACGGGTGGATAGGCGAGCCTTACGTCAAGTACGTCGACGGACGTGTGTGGTGCAACGTGTTGCCCGACACTGCCAACCACTTGGACTAACGTCTACCAGAACCATTTGGGTACTCGGAAGAACGGGCCCAATGTACTCAACTGGAGTAATTGAGTTCAGCGAAGTATTAAAACACTCCGAGTACCTGGAAGAAATTTTAGAATGCTCCTACTTTGTAAATGTTAAGAATTCGAGAACTCGTGTGCCTTGAGTAGTTCTAATTACATCTTGGTAGAAACGGCCCACTAATTAAACGCTTCGAACTCAATTTTTACGCGAACAATAGTCTTAAGAATTAAATTAGGTATTAAATCAGTACTTCTACGTTTTGAGTAGCAGGTGTCACTAACTAAAAATCTCAGTTCTCGAGCGCTTTCAATAGTAGACCTGCCTCAATATTTGACCATTTTGAATAATTTCGACTTGTTAGCGCGAACCTTCCTAATTATCCAAGGCTTTCAACAGTGCTAATCATTTAGCCGAACTCGACTATTTTTGACACCTCTAATTTTTTACTAGAACTGTTTCAATATATTATAATTCCCTATAGAGAATCGCACCACAATGAGTTGATCTATCCAGTAAATCGACCGATATTCACCCAATAAATAGACTTGCTCGAACGATTAGCTCTGCTTTTGCACCTTTAATCCTTTCACCAACTCTAGAACGATCCCCACAGTTCAGTGCCATTTTCTTGCGCCACTCGGGACGGTTTTGATGACCCGTATTCAAGGCCACGGTGTACGCTATGCCTACTAGAACGATTAAGATGAATAGAAACAACCGTTGTCGGTTTACTGACTTTGCTCTTAATACAGTGTGTGTTGATTCAAGTTTAAAGCGTATTTAATTTAACGCCCGTTTAATGGCACCGCGTAATGATCAATTTAAAGCGCCTTTTACAGACCATTTTATAGACGTCTTGCACCACACGCGATTTAGCTCATGTCCATTCACTTTATCATTCGGTCGCGGCTACGTTACACACGTAGAAGCAAGTTTCGGAACAACGACGATAAGCAACGATGTTTTCCAGCTCTTTGTAAACTCGATTTATTGCCTGTCTTGGTTTTCTATCAGCGAGGAGTATAAATTTGAATATCTGAGTCCTCATGGGACGTGCGACAAGCCTCGTAATTTCCAACATTCGAGCGTACATTTAATTTATTTTTCCGATGTCACATAATTAATGCCGAAATAGGATCGAAAAAGGTAAACAGGAGGTTTTCTTCGAAATTTGCATACGATTGTGAATTTCGTAAATTCGCTACTATGGTACAAGACCCTTTATTATTTGTATTACGATTCCATGCACGTTGGATGATTCAAGAACATTGAACGAAATCGTTTTGATTTACGAGCGCCACCGCGAATGACCAGAAAATCTCGACTATGGAGAAACGTCGTTACGGCAGAACTAGTCGTAACGATAGCGTAACGACACCTGTTACACCCTGTGAACGGTTCTTCTTACATCACGAAAAGCCGATGCTTTATCGCGCGTAACCGAACGAACTTAATAGCTGTCATTTTTCCAATCGTGTGTATTCGAAGTCGATCACCTTTTGAAAGTGCAGAAACAAAGAAGAGCTTAATTCTCAACTGAACCTGCCATTCTATCGCCTAACTTCTATAGAGACAAGACTATTTCTGTCAATTTAGACTATTGCAAGCATTTACCACCAAGATCCTACTGAAATCTACTCTCCGATGTATTCCAAGCACCAAACCACCCTATCATCTCACAACCCCCTTAAAACTCATCGATTCAAGCCATGCACACTCGACGAAAGAAAGTTCCTCTTACTATTCAAATTCCATATCAAGTAAAAAGCCCGAGCAGAGGGCACCTCGGTGTCACGAAAGTGAAAGCCCTCTCTCGTTTCGACATCATTCTTTTTTTTCCTTTTCGTCGCTGCACGAACCAGCACTCGGTGTGTCGATCTGGGACCCGAAATTAATCGACGATGATAACGATCCGCCGCCCGATGTGAAAGAAAGAAAGGCCACCGTGAGTTTTAATCGTGCGCGAATCGCGGCAGCACGCCCAAACGACTTCCTCCTTTCCAGCGACGGCATGTGTGCACCTCTCGTCGTCGTGGTCGCTCTACCGCCTTGGAAATGGCTCCACCTTTCCGTGCCGTGCGTCCTTGAGGGGGCCCCGGCGCGTTGCACTGCGAAAGGTGATGAAAACCGGCCAGTCACGTGTGCCATGCCGGTGCGAACGGGTGTTCGCCAGCTTCGCCCTCCTATGACACGTTGTTCGGCTGGTTTTCTAATGAACACTGGCTTCAGCAAAAGTTACTATAAACTGGGCCGCCACGTAGTGCAATCTCGACGAAAAAACCAGCAGCAGCTCGACGTCGTCCCTGAGGACGCGTCCTGTATAAACCATGGCTTCTTACGGACACGGAAGCGAATCCTCGCGGTGAACGAACCAGCTGATTGTGGACGGAAATCAACAGCATAAGTCTTCTCTAACGCGTTTCAAATCGTTGGAACCTGTGATCGACGAAGCACCGTCGCTGTCTGTCCCGAGTGTGATCGACAGAAACTCGGGGAGAAAGTGGAAAACATGCGAGGGGAAGTCTTCCTCGATCGGAGAGCAGAGGGATTCGACGAGTCGAGCCAGACCCGCCACGGATTAGATTAAATATTATCAATATCGTGTGGCGAACCGTTCTGCGGGGAGGGTGATTCGAGCAGGCGTAAGCACGATTATCCCGGGGACCACGCGCCGCGATATCTAAGCTCGAAGAGGAATTTCTCAATTCCGTCACGTTGCTTTTTCGTCGATTAAATAGCCGCTCCCGACGAGAAATCGGACACACTCGCGTTAAGCACCGTTGTGCGCGGTGTGGTTAGGTTCAATTGCACCGTTGTTCGTCACCGACGCACCGTGAAACCCTTTGGTGAACGATTACTCGACGTGCAGATATACGTGGGCGGCTATACGGGGGACAAAGGTACTGTTTTCCGACCGTGTACTCTGTTATCAATGTGTATGGTAGCTTAAGAAGACGTTCCCGATGTAATGTCGCCGTTTCGGTTGGTGGTCTGTTATTCGTCGAGTGCGAAAAAAACAAATTCGTGGCATGAAACTGATGAAATGGAGTTTATGTGAACGTGGAATTTAATTGACACTGTTCAAGATACGTTTCTGTGGTTTTCGATCTCGTGTGTGTAAAGTGTTCCAGGTATGTTATTAATTCTCGTAGAGAACCTGTATATCGATCCAATTCGTCTACGATAATACTATAATTTTCTAATAACGTTGTATGAATAGAAGTAATATATTATTACTTCTCATTATATACCAGAAAACATAGAAACAAGTGACGCTTGAAAACGAGGTCAGAGAAAACCCACGTTTATGTAAACTTATATTCTCGATTCGGTTGCTGAATTCAATCACTCCATACCACCCACCTCGAGTAGGTTGGCGAGTAGGTACTAGTTAACTCTTTGAGTGTGGATTTCTATAGGATACACCGGAGGTATCGTGTTATTCGAGCGAATGTTACTTCCGCGAAACAATCGAACGGATCGCGGATGCGAATGCAGAAACGTAAGCTTAGGATTCGTTGGTTGGTTGCAAGTCATTACTCGGAGTCGGTGGTACACTCCAGTGACCCGTGAATGTTTGTCGACCGTTCACCGACTGTTCACGAGGGAAAGGCGTGGCCCCCTCCGGACCCACATTCCCGTATTATTGCGGTCCGAGTCAATGGAATTGGCGAATTCATGAAATTCGTGAACTAGATCTCGCTCTGTTTCGAACGCCAACGAGAAGAATTTCAAAACCCTTGGGGTACTTGTTTCCTCGTACAGATCTGGCATTGTAATTTTGCACTTCTAGCATTGCTTTTTACATACGTTTACAAGACAACTATATATCTAACAACTCTAACATATCTGTGACAACTATATTCATCGATTGGTAGTAAAAAGTTTCATTGTTTCTCCTGGTGAATCAAATTCAAGGTTTTGTAGACTTTGATTACCTGAGATTTTGTTCATGATACGCTTACCAATGTTTAAAAGAAACAAAATTTATTAAGCTGTTCGTACATCTGATAAAAGTTTCAATAGAGATCAATCGATACGGAATTGAATCACATTTTGAATCAAATATGGAGTGCTCCTTAACACAGTTTTATAAAGACTGTGAAGAACAACCATACTTCATAGTTCTTTCACGTAATCGTTGAGACAACGCTGCTCCTCGAACGGGGAAAGCAAAGTTACTATGTGGAACGGAAACACCTCCGCCCTGGACAAATAAACTTGTACTTTCTTTATACTGGGCAGGAGGGAGCCGCGACTTCCAAGGAATCATCTTGACGGATGAATAGCATAATTGTATAGTATTAACAAAATTACCTACAATGCACGCCGACCGTGAACGCAATTCCGATGATTGTACTCATGAACCGTTCTTGGTATTCAATGACCATGGTTGGTCTCGCGAAATCGTTGACGCAAACCCCCCTGTTGTATCAATTACTTTTTCGAAGAACGAGACATTAAAGAAGCTTGAATTTGTTTATGGGCAAATAGGAACGAAATTATCGATCGAAACATAGAAAATAAGGAGTTCCTCGATCTTTGTTCCAGATGATGCAGAAAATACTCCCTCTACACAGGCTCCTATTAGGCGCAGCCTTGCTCGCGATCTGCCTGCCGATCATCGTGTCATCGTCGTCCTTCAGGGAAAGGCGGCACGTCGGCGTCGAGGAATCTAGTCATCGGCCGGGCAAATCGTACACACCTGTCAGTCGTGGTTTTAAATCATCGACCAGCAGGGACAACGAGATAACTACAGAGCCCGGAAGAAAAGTGTCGCACCGTCTAATCGGAGGACACTTGAGAGTCGATTCGAAGCAGGAAAGCGTCGAAACGATCTGGGACGATGGTATCCTTCTGTCCTCCGCCGGAAACGGCAAGGAGTCCAGGCCGAATCGCAAAGACGACGACGACGAGAAGAAAACGCTTTCTCAACAGGTGAAAGAAGGAAAGTACGGTCTCATACAGAATGAAATCTACGCGAATCGACCCAAGAGACCCGGAATCATCAGTTACCTCAGTAATCCAGAGGTGCCGAAAGACACCATCGAGAATCTAGGCGGTTTAGACGAGGATGAGATCTGGCTGGCCGAGAACCACGTGCTGGTGTTGAGAGGCGGGAAATTTCCTGGCCATGAAACGACGCAAAGCAACGGGGAAAGTGAGAGGACCTGGCCGCCCATCGACAACTACAAAGCGCCCAGAAGACAGGTCAAGATCCCCTCAAGGCCGAAGGTACCGCCGCCCTTTCCGGTTCAGCTCACGGAAGGCGGACCGATACAGATCATCGGACCGAACGGGACGAAAGAGATCGGGAACGGTACCCTCGACTATGGGAAAGACCACCCGTTATTCATGAAGAGTTTCCTATCGGAGGAAGGCCCACTTTTCGCAATTATTTCCAACGGAACGGTCCTTATGCCCAACGTGGATAGCAACGGTACCTCCGAGGACAATGATAAGGGAACGAAGCCTGACCCTCTACCCGGATTTCCGCCATTTTACCACGCGATACCGCCTGGCGCGGTGTTTGTACCACCTCCCAGTAATCAGTCGGATTACGACGAAGAGGATCAGTCGATTTATTATCCCCCGCCATACAGTTTTCAATATCAACAGGATAATACCACGGCAGTTCCACCTGGTCCTCTGGTTCCAGGGATCATCCTGCCGCCCCCGCCAGATTTTTTCTCTCCTCTTGAAGACAAGAAGACCACAACGAAGAAGTACACGAAACGTCCTGGAACCACCCCCGTGCCCAGGCAAAGACCAACGTATCTACCGCCGAGGAAACTGACGACAAAATATAAGACCACAACCACTCCGCCAGTCACAAAGCCAAGATCATCGGTGAATTTATCAGCCAGCTCGAAGACGTACAAAACAACAACGACGTACAAAAATCTAACCGCTACGACACCCATTAGTGTCACTACTGTCCCATATGTAGAGGTCACGACGCCCACACCAGATAAACCGACAACCCTCGATAACCCCAAGTACTACAACATCCAGCCAATACTAGAGAACCAAGTGACTAATCAAGAGATCGTCCAAGCGAAGAACGAGGCCTGGTCCGGCACAGTGACCAGCAAAACGCTTCCCATATTGTCCTACCACACGTCGACCCAGTCCACTCTGGAGAAACCGATAGAGGTTACACCAGCTTCCATAAAGCGTATCGTTACAACCGGCAGCCCCGAACGATCACCCAGCCAGGCGTCCTATTACTTTTACGAGGAATCGAACGAACCCACCGTCACCACCGCCGATCCGTCGATTTATTTCAAAACAACAACGGAATCGCCTTTCTACGAGACGGTGACCCAATCGCGTTCGGTCGACAAGAAAAAGCAGTTCTACAGCGTGGAGACCGTGCCGTCGCAAGAAACATCGAAAGACTACAGCGTTAAATACATCGACACCGTGGTGAAAAACTCCGAGCCGGTACGTTACAGCGACTCGGTCACGCGAACATCGTTGACTAGGTCCCAGGGTCAGCGAATGCTACCGGATCGGGCGCCGCCGCTTTATTATCAAACGATATCCACACGTCCACCAGCGCAACCGTATTACACGACACCACGACCACAAACGTATTACAGACAAGATAAACCGAAGCCGATCTATCAGTACAGCTTCGAGACGGCGGATTACACGAAGCGCGGTGGTACCGATCAGAGACAGTTCGAGCAACACCAGACCGTGCCCTACAATGATTATCAAGACGTTAAGATCCCCAGTTTCAACGGGCCACGTTACGATTACGAGCAGAACGAACCGACGAAACGGATAAGACCCCAGAGTCTACCCTACAAAAGCCAACAACCGATTTATCCATCGACCATGATCAATTCGGCGATAAACACCACGCCGAATCCTCATCTGGCCTATTATACTCAACAAGACGAGAAGCTGCTGGACGACGTGACGAAAGAATACTTCACGATCTTCGGCAAGAAGATACCGCACAAGGGTATACCAAGCACGACACCGATCTATGGAAAATCGACGGAAAGACCGGAGTACAACGTGAACAGTTACGTCGAGAATAATTACAACACACCCGAGCCACCGGTGTTCAAGACGCCTAACGTCAAAGTGCACTACGGCGATCAGTCTCAACGACCGTATTCTCTGAAGGACGATATCCTGGTGAATTACAGACAACCCTTGCCGCCTATCAACCCGGACAGCGAGTTCATCACGGTGGTTAATCCGAATTCACAACAGCCACCGAATTATAGGATGTCGAGTAGAGACGGTCAACCTTTGGCGCCGATTCGTGCTTATCCGAGTCAGCAATTGATCAACCAGAGGAACGGTCCGTCGACGAATTACGTGCCGATAGCGGAATATCCCGAAGAGATCGACGAATCGTATCCCGAGTTACCGATATCACTGGAAGACGATATCAAAGTGAACTACCGCGATCCACGGCCGACAATCAATCCCGACGCCGAATTCATCGATCCGAATCCTGTACCGGAGAACCAGTCGGAGAAGCCGAAGGCCTATTTCGCTTACAGACTGCCAGGTGACAGCGGTCACTTTTACTTCCTGACGCCGCAGGCGGTCACGCAGAGGCCGGAACGGAACGCGGGTCACATTTACGCGAAATCGAGGGGGCCGAGACCGCGGATACGTCGCCGGCGACCCGGCAATGTCTGATCTTTCTTTGCCATATAAAGTCCGGTACGCGTTTGAAAATCTTGTGCTCGACTAAACAGTTGTAAATCTAGAACAGAGTAACTCGAACGGGGTCTGGAAAAGCTCGAGACCAGTGATTTAGAAGATCTATCGAAAGAGTCCTACTGACATTGTAGAGGAGTCCTTTTTATATACGGTTAATTTTGTAAGATTTTTTCGTATCGTTAAGTTGCTGGTCTGAACTTTCTTGGAATTGTTCTGTAACCTTTCCTTGAAAGCAATTTCTTCAAACGTAGATTGGGCTTAACGATCAAGATATTACGGTGGAGACGTGTCTATAGACGGGTGTACTGTTTGGATATTTATTACACGTGTAAATATATTATGTGTAACGACTAGGTTAGACGATTATCAACGCCTTTACTTACGATATAAATGCTTAATTTATATATGTTACCCTGACATCCCCCGCGATCCCTCCCTGCCCAGTTTAGGTATCGATACAGACGCGAGATACTCGTTTGAGTGCGACGATAGGTGTGCGGTACAATTATGAGAGGCACTCGCTCGCGTACTCGCGCATTCTCTGTGATTAATGATCGAGGTGAACACCTACATGTATATAGTTAATGATTAACGATAGTGATAAGTCGATCGTAGTAGAACGTTTTTCGTACGACGTTAGGTGAAGTATGTTATTCGATTCAATAAAGATCGTTTTTATGCTGTAGAACTGTGTCTCGTAAGAAAATGTTAGAACCTTTGGTTCTTTGACGTAAAACGATGCGAATGATATTGGAGTATTAACGAAACAAATTGACCGGTCTGGATCAGTGACAAAGTATCCCCCCACCATGCAATTTGGTCACGTGTTGAATCTTTATATTAATTGTTTCTCCAGTTGGGAAAATGGAAAAATTAAATCCGACTGGTACCCTGGCCTACAGGGTAGATTTTAGAATAATTTGCATGCAGATACCAGAAACCAACCATTTGTAATCTCTGTTGCAAAAGGACGAATATGTGGGCCAATGAGACTCGTATTCATTACGGGTCCAATGATTGCAATACCCAGCAATAGATGACATATTATTGATATTAATGCCTCGAGCAGAATAGTCATAAAATACTATCGTTAGAAGCACTCAAAGAGCTAAAAGTATAAGCGTATTATAAGCGTAATATCATTAGAGTGATAGTAGTTTTCGATCGTTTTAGTATTCCACTGTAAATATAGACTTTAAAAAAACTGTATGCTACATTAAATGTATAAGATGTTATTTAGTGGACGGTACTGTTACTATATCATTAAACTAATTTTGCAAGAACTCAGTTAACTTACGGAGTAACGTGACTTCCAATGTAATGGCAAACGATTCTCGAAAGGTGAATTATTTAAACTTGAAAATAAAAGTGTATCGAAAAAAAAAAAGTTTCGTAGATCTTTAATGCAAGCTGTAATGCTAAAGGCAAGTCACTCGAACTCCAATACGTATTATACTTTTAAATGTATTGTAATGTGTATACGAGGTATCGATTTATAACGACTGAAGTTTTAAGTAAAAGGTGACAATATAGCGAGTAATACAGACGCTATCAATTAGACATTGACTGTCAACAAGTTACGTCTACATATATTAATAGATTCCCAGAGTTGGAACCTCGTTATCTATAACTTCCCCTCGTTAAATTATAAATTGGTACAAAATCTAACGCTTTGTATTCTTGTACCATGTAAACAAATCTACTATTTATATAGTCTTAGTTTTTAGATAAAAGTTTAAAGATACACATAGAATGCAGACTCACCAGTTTCGATTTCTTGCACTTGTGTTGGGTCAGGCGGTGGGTGGTCGTGTAGCTGTAAGTAAACCTCCACCGCACATTTCGCAGCTTTGAAGTAGAAAGGATGAGCACGCAGTACATCTTCTAACCTCAGGAGACCAACGTACGACCGTAGAGTCATCTTTCTCATGCAGTAGGTGTGGAAGTCGAACTGATCTTCTATGATTTCAGAGAAATGCTGTAACCGATAGTATATCCATGAAAGACTGTTACGAAAAATCGTTGTTTCGACAACTGTGCATCGTGTAACTCACCCTATCAACTTCGTGACATTTCTTCAACGCCTCCCCGTATTTCCCTAAACGTTTGTAAGCGTTCGCTGCTTCCGTCTGAATCCACATACACTGCATTTCATTCAGATTCTCCATGGCTAAAACACCTTCCCTGGTGAACTTGCCGCATGTCTCTTCCGCCTCTTTGATGAGATTTGCGCGTAACATGTACTTGGCACATTTGGAATTAATATATCGATCTGCGGTATCTAAACCTTGTGCTTCATCTAACCATTTATACGCTTCTTGAGCATTACCGGCATGCTAACGAGAGGTAAATATATACGTTAAACTGTTTAATGTCTAGGGCAATTACTCGAACAGTTTAAGTTAATATAGAACTGACCTTATAAATGCGACCTTTGGTAACAAAAAGTTCTATAAGTGTAGGAGTATGTTCTATGGCAGCGTTAATTTCATTCAGTGCTTTTTCTGTAAGTTCAAGATGATCGTAATGTTGTGCTAAATAGTAGTATGTCCACAACAACGCCGAGGCTGGCTCTCGTGGATTATCTTTCTCTTGATCGCTAAAATGCCCATGAGTCTTCAATGCTTCTTTATACTGCAATACCAGAGATTGGATAGTAGCAACTTTCTGTTGATCAGTATACAGGGAACGAAGATTTACAAACAGAGGCGGGACACCTTTATGAAGACCTGTAATACAAATAAAATACAAGTAAGTGACGGTAAATGATTACACTTTGTTATTCATATAAGCGACATGAAAATCAAATACCTTTTCGTAAGTACCGATCAACTAATGTTTTAAATGTATCCCCTGCAGCATAAGATAATTGTAAGCGCCGCGGCGCTAGCGCTCGAGGAAACAGTTCTTCGTATCTTTGGAGCATAGCTAACGTTTCTTCAGGTGTAGCATGTCTTTCAGCCTCTGCTAGCCTAGTATAGTATGTTGTGTTTTCAGGATTTATATTTAAAAGGTCCTTATAAATCTGAACTGCTTCTGCGTATTGTTTTAATTCTAATCTTAATTTACCTAAAAAGAAAAAGAAATTCTTCAATTCAATAAAGGGGCAGTGGACCATGTTTATAAATACAACATATGCAAAGTAGAACTCACCATAAGTCTCTTTTACAGTAATTTTATCACAAATATGATCACTGTATTTGTCAAGATGTTTCAATGCCTGATCATACTCCCCTGATTCTTGAATGACCATGTTTTGGTATAACAACAATTCACTCTGTTCATAGTCATAACAAATCTGCACATTTTATGAATATCCCTATTATATACTATCATAAATAATATGTATTTAGCTGTAATTTATATTCTTAACATCTTTAGAAGTGAAGTAAGATTCTTTTTTTAAATACAAGATGTATTAAGTCAAAACGAACTATGCAATGTTGAATACATACCATTGGGGAATTTCGAAAAGTATCTAAAATTTTTAGAGCCATTTCATAGTCCTTTAATAAATGATATGAGATAGCAAAACCAATCCATGATGCACGCTGTGTGGGACGTAACATAAACAACTGATATCTTGTGTCCTGAAAGAAACATTATGTAATAAATTTTCATGTAAGACCATATTTATTGACATATCTGCAAATGTGATTAATGTTGTTATATTATATTTCTAAGTATACGAATAATATTTAGTTGGTAAAGAAGTAATGTAGGTATGGCGTAATATTAATAAGATAAGCATTGGGTATTGCACGATATTAACTGTGAAAATACTGATTTCAACAAGACTTTCTGTGGTCAATCTATAGTAAAATTAAACAGTTAAATAACTGAATGTTAAACTACATACTAGTTTCACATAAATTAGCTTCAAAGTTAGATACATCAGTAAAATTAATACTTGTCACAAAACATTACTTTTTTACCTGTCCAATCTATTAATAACAAATAAGAGTTATATACGATATTTACTTTGTAACCCTCCAGATCCCTCATTTGTATTTGAAGCAACGATAAATCCCTAAGGATTTGTATATTATCCTTATCCCATTTGAGAGCATTTCTGTAACATTTAATGGCCTCATCGTATTTTTTGTCAGAACGCTGCAAAAGTCCATAAACGTGCCAACAAACATGTGACTGCAAATCATTCCTCAGGCCACGTCTTACATGATCATATGCTTCTTCCTTGCGACCTAAGCAGTTCAGAGTGAGACCTTTCATTGCCAAGGTCTCTCCATGTTCACTAAATTTAGGGTTCGATAAAATTTGCTTTGCAAACTTTATCCCATTTTTATACTGTTTATGTTCGTAACACTTCTGTAAGAAACACAATTACGTTTCTCAGGATAAAATGTTTTCATGAGTTAAGTACTGTATGGTTGTGTAAACTGGCATTGTCGAGCGTAGCGAGAGACGTGCACGAGATTGTAATTTCGTTCGCAACGTCAGCGAAACTCGTGCAGTTCGCGGTTGCCAGTGAGTTTTTTGCAGTTTTTCGAAGAGTGCTTCATCATTAGAGCATGATGAATACTCCTATTAGCCGGAGAGTGGGGTCCAACACAGACTATTTTGATTACACGTTACTCACCAGAATTCGCTTAAACAAGGTATTTTCTTTGGGTGGCAAGGGATTGCTGGAGGGCATTTTTGTATAAATACAAAAATATAGGGCCTTTTCCACCCGGTAAACTTAATTTTCACCACAAAACCTCGTGGCCACAAACGAAGAACTCGATCCTCGATCACGTGATCATCTGCGACAATGCTGTTCCGCCGGAAGTTCTACATCCACGGTGCGGCAAACTTTTAATATGTACTTCGTACGATTCACGAATTTATTAAGAACAATAAATCCGCTCTTTACGATTTCTGTCGTTTATAATGCGCTCTTTGCGATGCATTTGATGATTTTATCTTTTTCGGAATTGCATGCAGCACGCGTTTACAAGTAATGATAACTAACGATATTTAAGGAGAGTTTCTATGAACTGTAAATAATACATACAATTGCATTACTTGAATTCTATGAAATTGTACGTTTCTAGAGAAACTATCTCAATAATGACTACATTTGTCTTTCAAATTTATGTTTTTTCATTGTTACGAATATATTTTCAATACTTCAATGATTAAATTTGGAATATTTGACAACATTAAGTGTTGTTTACAATCTACTGTTTCTACGATTCTTTTATTACCAAAGATTAATTGGTGCATTTTGAAACCACATGGACCTATTTACATTTAGTTTTGTGAGCTTCAAAATGCATACTATTAGTTTGACATGTGAAACTACGTGAAATAAAATTGTAAATACTTTGTAAAGTGTATTCCTTAAATGTAATTTGAGTAAATACAAGAAAACGACTTTTATGTCATAAAGGTATGATTTTCATTCGTTCTTTGGTGTCTTGAAAAGGTTATGAAAATAATTAACCTTATAAAAACTTTTAACAAAGCGTTTCATGTATGGAACATATTTTTGATTTTACACTTAAATGTATTCAATTTTTTACTTTCCAGTTTTATATGAATTTTATATCAGTATGTCGTTAGTTTGTAGAAAACTATGTTCCTCTATTTTATTGGAACACTTTGGACATATTGTTCAAGCTGTAGGTGAAGATTTAATAAAATATGGTCCAAAACCATTAGGTTTAATTCGTCACTCAACCCATCTTTCGTTAGCAAAGGTAAAAATTTATTGATGCAATCTGTCTTCTGATATAATTATTAATGCTATTGCAACTTGGTATTAAATTGTATATATATATACAATTTTATTTTTAGATAAAAGAAGCATTATGTGTTTTAATAAAATATGATTTTGTTATACCTCGACAAACTGAAAGGGGAATAGAATATTCTTTAATTTATGAAAAAATCATAATGGTACTTAGATATCCAAGGTAGTATCATTTCCACATTTGAAATTGTAATTGCACTTACAAAATGATACATTTAAGAATTGGCTGTTTTCTTTTTAATAGATATATGTTCTTTGCAAAAACAATGTGTGGGGATGATGCAGAAATGATATTGGAAGAAGTATTAAAACACGGGTATATAACAGCTTCTGAAGTAATTGCACTAACATATAAAAGAATCCAACAGTCACCTTGTATGTGAACAAAATATTTTGACTCCTTTTTTTTGAAGAAAAGTTCTTAGAATTTCTTCAATAACTTTCATGACCTAACAATTAATTTTTAGCTGAATTAGAAGTATCAGTTCCAGTACTGAAGGATAAATTTGAATTGTTAGTTAAAAACCAATTTCTGATGCGTAGTTTATATTCAGAAACACCTGAAGAAACAGCTAATGAGAAACGAGATTACAACTTGCCAGATCTTAATATAGCTGCAATTAATAAGCTAATTGGAGGAGAACAAGTTGACTGTGGGGATAGTAAAATTTATTGGAAAGTCAATTTTGATCGCTTTACTCAGGACCTTAGGTAAGACCTGCAAAAACTTCAATAAACATAAGACATGTAAGGAACTTGCAATATAATCTATAGGGATCAAATTATTATATCAGCTATGCGCAATAGACTGGATGAGAATGCATCAGAGTTGATGAGACAGTTACTGTTCCTTATGTACTTGCGGACAGCTTCATGGGCAGATACATCCAATCCAATACCTCTTGCAGAGATAAAAGAAGCTGTCAGAAAGATTGATTATCCATTACTTACTCAACACCTTGACCAATACTTACGTCTTATTGGTACATATATAGAAAGTTTTGTAAAGTATTCAAGCATTTTCAGGTGTATTACATTGTATCCGATAAGTATTTCATTTTAGAGGAAGACACTAGTCAGTTTTTAAAACGAGTTGGAGATGCTGCAGGTGGCCAATATAGTGTTAACATGAAGGAAGCATTTAATCAGTTAGCGTGGACTACATTAGAGAATATTGTAATGGAGAGATTTGGTTCAAAAGCAGCTAGAATTTTTAGGTATGTTACACACTTTTACATTATGTTAAGCTTGCTACGAATAAATTTAATATTCTTGTAATCCATAGGTTAGTGCGTGATAGGAAATACATTGAGCAAGAACAAATTCAGCAGTTAGCTATGATTCCAGCGAAGGAGGCTAAATATTTAACATACACATTATTACAAGAGAATTATCTGCAAATGCAGGAAATAAAAAAAGCCGGTGTATCGGCTGCACCAATGAAAACGTTCTTCTTGTTCCATATTGACTTAAATTTGGTTGTTCATATGGAGGTAGAACATTGTTACCATGCGCTGTATAATACTATGCAAAGAAGAGAATACGAGGTAACCAGTAATAAGCGAATGATAGATAAACAGTTACGAATGCAGACACTCACGAGTAATCTAAAAGAACACGGAGCTACCGAAGAACAATTGGCGGAGGTATGTATACTTATTATATTACAATGTCAATTATTAAACGTATTTCAACTTTGTGTAGATCGCAGAAATGATGACACCATCCGAAAAACAACAGTTGGAAAAAGTTCAAAGTACAATCAAGAAACTGGGCGTGACTGAATTGCAGATAGACGATACTTTGTTCCTATTAACAATGTATTTACGTTACCATTGAATAAAGACATATTATTGTGCTTATGTCTGTCGGAAACAGCACCAGCTATTTTATACTATATTTGAACGCGCTCGAAAGATTATGGATGAACAAACACATGATGTTTCATTCATTTATATAGTTATTTATTTATGTATAATAATGGTTACGCTTGTAAAATACAAACAACAAAGAATACCTAACTTTCAAATTATTATAATAAATATAATCATATATCTATGTTTATAATAGTGCTGTTCTCTATGTGATACAGTGCATTTGATGTCACTATCTATGAGGGAAAATGATCTTGGAGTACACACACCGCTAAACGTTGCATTGTTGGCGCTTCCGTATTAATTATACATTTTGATCTATGCAATATGAACAATGTGTGTTAGTGGATTAGAAACAAATCGTTAGAGTTATGAATCACAGCCAGCTTAAGGTGCCTTATGGATCAGTAAATAAGTTGAACTCTGCAAATGCTATTACAATTATCTAAAAAACGTAATTCCTTTACAGAATGGTTGTTAAAATAATTTTTGGTGTGCCGCTACCATTGTATGCTTCACTTCCAAGTATGATTTTCCCTTTGTTGCTATTATATGCTTGTTTTACGTTCGTCTTAACACTACCGTGACGAATACAGGCTTCTTCGTGCGCGAATACTTGTCAATCGTGGAAATTGAAAGCAGATAGCGTTAACAGTAAAGACTCACCGATCTTAAATATAGTGACATTTTGATTGTACGCTATTGATACCAATTAATAAAGTATAGTTCGGTATGCCGTCGGCAGTGATAAGACGATCGCGAGAATGTAATCGCATTCAAACATGCATTTGACTGATTTTTATATTCCCTTTCTTTCTCACCCTCTTTCACACACGCACACACACATCTCTCTCTCTCGTTCTCTTTTGTTCTTCCCTCATGTTTACGGTACTCGATAACTATGTACACGGCACGTACATACAAGTTTCTTCTAGAAATAACGTTGCATACCTAAAACTAAGATTGAATTTCGGTAAAGCGTTATTTTATTATACTTTTTTTTTTGTTCATACCATTAACAACAACGTACATGTAAATGAAGTGAATTCTTGGAATATTGAGATTGGATGTTAGTGTTCACCATTTTTTTTTGCTTGTTACGTTAAATATACTATAATATTAGTTTATGTAGTCGTTTTACAATTTACTATTCGTACAGTTCGCATTCGCACTGGTTGCATTTCTCAAGAGCCGATCAACTTGCACAGCGAGTGCATCGAGATTATTCGCGAAACGTTCGTTTCTATAAAATAGAACAGTCAAGGAAAAAGGGCGAAAAGAAAGAAAAAAGGAGAAAAAGAGGAGAGGTAACTCGTGCTAAAATTTCCGTCTCGATAATAACGGGATCGCAGTCCATGGAATGCAGAACTGATATTATTTCTAAAGCAAAACACCGCGCCGAATGAATTTAAATTGGACGAGAATTTTAACAAGGAAGACACGATCCGAGCCTAACTACATACGCGATTCCTAATTTTTCCCTGACTTGTATTGCGAATAGAAGGAAGAAGAAAATGAAGAAAAGCAAATTGTTTTCCGATGGTTGCGAAGATATGGCACAATAGAAAACGATGTATCTTTCGTTTGGAATATTTACATCGAGTCGAAGAAATAATCAACTTGATGGAAGGCTAGAGATAAAGACAGTGTAAAATCAATTCTGTTATTTTCCATTTCTTTTCTGTTTCGGGTATCTGTCAGATAATTTTAGAAGTAATTACTGTTGAAATAGTATTGATATGTAGTATTTCATTTCATAAATTTATATTTTTCATATTTAAATGACCATCGAATGAAATGAAGGAAAAATTCCGTCCATCAGATTGACGATGAGTGGGCGTTCAAGGTTGATTCTTTCTTCGGCCCGACTATATGCAATTTATCATTATTATTTCGCTCTCGGGACGAATAAGACTGAGCAATTGATCTTTGGGGAACAAACTGGCGAACAAGGAAGAGGAAGAAACACAAGCGGGAATCCAATTTCGTAGAGATGCAGGAATTTCCGGTGATATAAGGGGGTTTCGTGTTTCCAAGGAAGCGTTTCTTTTATCGTTGAACATAAACGTGAACGCGAGTTCAGTGTCTGATTGCGTATTGCGTGAACGACGCGACGTGTAAATTTGAGTATTTGAGCGCGCAAACGATCAACGAACTTCGCGTCATCGTCGTCGTCGTTGTCGTCGTCGTCATTTGAACTGGCACGTACAACCTCTATTGCTATGCGTAATAAGGATAACCGTTTTTTTTTTTAAATGAAAGAAAAGAGAGAAATAATCGTAAGAATAGTAATAATAATAATAATAGTACTAAATAAAACTGATGACAGTAATATTAATATTAAGGATAATAATAAACATAATGATGACCATAAAAATAAGAATATGCAAATCGCCAAAATTTTAACATCGTTAAATCTACGGTGTCTTCGTGGGGGGTAATTACATCATATATGTTTTTTTGCTACGCGGGATACATCACAATATAGTTACACTGTACATTAATAGTATTGACACGTTCTCTTGCATCGGGCCGTTCTGATCGATGAAATACCGCCGACGCAATTGTACAAATCCATGTATATACATAAAATAAATTATTATATCAACATTAAGCTATCCTATCTGCCGCCGGCCGCGGTATTTGAACCGACCGGGCCCGAGAACACGGGCGCAGATGCATCGAGGATACTGGCTCTCTTTATAAAATTATATTAGGTACCTTGTATAGAATTGCACTGATTACAATATACATAAATAACAAAAAGAAACGGTGAAAAAAGGAGAGACGTAAAAATTACCGTGTTATTTTCGTTTTTTTTTCACGTCGAGCCAACTTCCGCCGCGTCCCGGAACCGGAGGCTCACGTGCGCTCTGCAAATGTCGAGCCCACCACCGGCTCGCGAAAACGCTATTTGGCACATAAATATTATCACATCGAGCTCCCAATCTTTGCCGTCCGATTTCTTTTTTGTTTCCGTTACGTTTCTCAAATGTACCACGAGACATTTACACGCCTAGCTACAACCGTTAATTACGACTTGGTGCTCTCTCGCCTCGCCCATTTTCTCCGTAGCACCGTATGCCAACATTGGTAAAAACAAGTTCGCGGAATAAGTTTCTTTTTCTCCAGTCCACTTGGGCGTGCTTATCACGAAACGCGACTCGACAAAATGGGATTAAAAACGTAACAGCGTTCCAGATATCCGATAGAAAAAAAAAACAAACAATAACGTCTCGTTAGAATTTGATCGTACCGTTCATACATCGTTTCAATAAATAACGCTAATCCCCTCCCCTCTGTAATCGTTTTTTTTTTCTTTTTACAGTAACATTGTACTAAAAAATTGACGTCGCGCGTGCCCCTATTAATCTCCCGTTCCCTAAACCCTTCTTCTCTCTCGCTTACACACTACGAATCTTCTGTTTCTGGATCTCTTGTCGACAATTCTCTTATTCGCGTGTTACGACTATCGTTTCTCGTTTCAACTATCCACGCTGTCCTCGGCTCTGCCGATCGAAGGCGAGTAATCGGTTGGTCGTTCAAAGCCGCATCCTCCCTTATAATTCATGTCAGAGACATTATTCTGCGTATCGACTCGAACGAAATAAGACAAAAAATAGAACATGATAGAACGACGAGGATAGATTTTCAACGATCTTGAACGACCGACCGGAATTTCGAACCCTGACCATGCGTTACGATTAGGGTGAATAAATTAATGACGAAAATACTATAAGTACTATCAAACGATCTCGAATCGAACGAAGCCGTTACCATTGGCGGACAGATAAATCGCGTGACAGAATTTCCCAACCTGTTTCCTTCCCACCGGTCCTCGTGCGAATACCGGATATAATGATTGCGTGATAATACGGAAAAAAAAGGACCCGCTGGATTTAGTTAGACGATCGAAAAACGCGTGCCCCGCGTTTAACCAGGAAACGCGCGCGCGCACGATGCTGTGAGACGCGATAGAACGGATCAGCTTCTCTTTCTGTCTTCGTTTCTCATCCCCGACACGGTCGAGCGAAGGTACCGTGTCGCTGGGCACACACCACACACACACACACACATTATATATATATGTGTGTGTGTGTGTGTGTATATATATATATATATATATATATATATATATACTTATATATATACATATAAATATACGTGTTACGATCGTCTCGCGGTGTGTTTTTACGCAGCATCGAAACGCGATTAAGACGAGTTCGATCGGCGTGCTGCATCGAATCCGTTTTTCGGCGCGCGCGTACACGTGACACACATGGCAGTCTTACGAAAAATCAGGTATGTGTATATATATATATATATATATATATGTGTGTATATATATATATATATATTTATTTATTTACTCATTTATTTATTTTATTTATTTATTCATTTATTTATTTATGTATAATTCTATCATTCGCGCTCACCGTTCGGACAACACCCGCGAGATGGGCACGCACAAGCTTCCCGCGACCTGTACGTCGACGATTTTCCCCTCTAACATCGAATATATTCGGGCGTGTTACATCTCGTGTCTAGAACGGTTACCTATTCAGACCTCTCTTATCGTTCGCGGGATCTCGCGGCCGCTTCCACTCGCGGCTTTTGATTACACAGAAGAACAGAATACACACCGTGTGTCGCCGTAACAGTGTTCAACACGATGGATCGGCCTCGTGGCTACCCCCTTTCTTCTTGTTTCGCCTCCGATTCCCCCGCCCCCCCACCCCTGATCCGAGTAACAGTGTGAGCAAGCGGGAAGACATCTCAGTGTTACACGTCTCTAATCTCACGTTCGCCAGTGTCCCCTGTAGTATCCGTATCCTCTTGACGGATAAAGAGATCGTTGCTCGACAATTTTGTCACGGGTATCCCCCATCCCCCCCAAAACACACATTGTCCCATATAGCTCCTAGGGTATACACCGACACCGAGGATACGTTTCGTCGCGAAATCCTCGGACGTGGTACCGGATCTCCGCGTAGACGGGGCGAGGGGGATGATAGGCGACACGACGGCGGATCCAGGAAGAAGCAACGTGCTTGCTGCTGCTCGCCGCTCCAATTCGCGGGACGAGAGCATCCGCGCGTCGTACGATGGCACAGAAATAAATCGTTATATCACAACCTCTCGAGCGAGAGGCTTTGAACACCGCTCACGGGTGTTCACTCTCCTCGAGAACGTTCCTCTCCCTCCCCCGGGGATGACTTTCACGGTAGAAATATGATAGACGGCGCGGCGGTAGTAGGCGTGCGGGGGCGCGTGCACCGCGTCTCTTCTTCCGGCCGGTTCGATCCGTTTCTCGAAACCATATTCCTCCGTTCGAGAGAACCTCGAGGACGCCGCCTGCAGTAGTTACCAGAACAACTCGTGTCCGAGTCTTGACGCTGCTGCTGCCGCTGCCGCGGCTGCTGCTGCTGATGTGGATGATGATGACGCTCCGGGTGGCCATGACGGCTGACCCGGAGCCGCGGTTCAATCCTCGTCGTGATGCCGCGGACTTGCGTCATAGCCACCGATCGAACCGGAATTCTCCGGCGAGAAGTTCATCATATCCGACGGCGACAGACTGTCCTGGGGGTAGTAGAACGACGGATGATCCGAGCTTGGACCAGCACCACCACCGTTCAACATAGTCGCGGGTGGGGAAACCGATGGTCTACCGGACGGACCGGCTCCTGATCCCGGATGGTGTTGCGAGCTCATGTCGGAACCAACCGGCGACAGGAAACCCATCTCTGGTCCGCTGTCCCGACACCAGAGCTGCCTCATTTCCTGCCGTCGTTGCCGCATCAGCGACTTGTACTCGGATATGCGCATCTTCTTCCCATCCACGATACACGTACGCTTCGGTCGCGGCCTGTACCTGTAGTCCGGATGCTTCTCCATGTGCAGCTTCGACAATCGTGACTGTTCCTCGTAGTACGGCTGTTTCTCGGAGTTCGACATCGCTTTCCACCGTGCACCTGGAAGAGTTCGAAGAATCGAGTAAATCGAAGCGTGGAGAAACACGTTGAAGAGTCTAATCGGGTATTATAGAGGAAGTGGACTAAATACGGGGTAGCACTTGTGTTTCGAGACTTATTGTTAAACTTGGTGAAGATTTTTAACGTGTAAAGAACACTTCTATCTGGAACATGTTTGGAGTTTAACACTAACCGTAACGACCGCCGGTCAAATGACCGGTTTAATATACGGTATAAATAGATATATAAAAGTCTCGGTACGGTTAGTGTTAAGTAAGATATCTTTCTTCTTGAGAAAAATCATAGTAGTATTGTCCACAAAAAAATTACGTACCGAGTATTTTGGATATATTCGAATTATGCATATCCGGGCAGGCCTTCAATATTTTCCTACGCTCGTCCTTGGCCCACACCATGAACGCGTTCATAGGCCGCTTGATATGTGGCTTGTTCTCGCTCTCCCTTTTCTGCTGTCTCACCATTTTCGCTAAAACACAAGAGGAGAAACATTAGCCCATCAAGGGATCGCGACGGTGACCGTTCGTGAGAAGCGAATCCGATTTCCTCGCTAGCAACGGGTCGCGTCGCGTCGCATATTTTTACCTTTTTCCGTTATGTCTTCCGGTACCTTGTAACCCGGCTCCCGCCACACTGTAATTTCAGAATCACCAGTCGTTCGTTAGAAATTTTCGCAAACGGACAGACCGTTCCCCCAGGCAAGGGCCAAGGGGATAGGGTGGGAAGGAAGAGGACGCGGCGCGTATACAGGGTGTCTAAAAAAGATGGAACAATCCGTAACATGGATATTTCTCGTGCCAATGCACATCGAAAAATCCCCTACCGGTTTCTAATCTGAAGCTCTATTTCTGAGATATTGGGTCGTCCGCTTCTTGACAATATCTGCGCGTACGTGTGAGTTAATTTAACTGCTAATATCTCCGAAATGGAGCTTCAGATTAGAAACCGGTAAGGGACTTTTCGATGTGTATTGGCACGAGAAATATCCATGTTACGGATTATCCCATCTTTTTGGGACACCCTGTATACAAGAAATTATCAAGGGGAACGATCGGAACACGGCGCGTATTAAATGGGAAGTTCGCTCGTTAAGAATTTATATAGAGAACTGGTTGCGCCGCGCGTACGGGTGAAAGAAACGCGACTCGTTCGGGTTTACAGTTAACTTAAAGGCGACTCGAACGACCGAACACCGATCAGGGACAATAAGAGAAGAGATGAAAGAGAGTTGGAGAAGGACAAGAGAGACGAAGAAAATAATGTATTTACTGTGAGGCGTCGAGAGATAGTCTTGGTCATCTTGCGCAGCCTCCTCCCGGGAACCAGAATGCTTGATCGGTCGTTGAGTTTGAGGCGACGGCGGCATCGCACCTGCGCTCGGAGGCAGACCATAAATCGCGTGCATCGCGAAATGCTTCTCCACGACGGCGACCGCCGCGGCCGCGACCGAACCACCCGGTCCGCCAGCCTCGTCTTTGGACATCACCTTGCCCACTGTAACACACCACAGATACATCGAGATACAGAATGATCGAGGTGCGCGTACATGTGTGAGAAACACGTGAAAAGGGGTGTTGGGAAAGGCCTCTTACCAGTTTGTCTCGGGAGTTACTGAAATTTATGTCAAATGGACATTTAGTTTAACATTTACTTCGGTATTTGAAATAAATTTACCGAGTGATAGGAATGCTTTTTCCTCTCGTCGAGAACCAATTTTACTCCTCAGTGTACAGAGCCACACGACATGGCCTGATGATCACGCGACTCGCCTATCCCTCCCTGATATTACACAATGACAACCGGAGGATTCCGTGGACTTGTTTCTTTTTTCGATGATCCCGCCAACACACCGGTGTCTTATCTTGGAATCGCGTTACGCGTCGTTGATTGTGCACTTATGCACAGGCAAAAAGCAGGACACACGATCACGGAGGGGAACGAACAGGTTTTCTAACAAAGAAACGAAAAAAACCGGCGCCGGACAATCGGGTAAACGCACGCGTTCCCAAAGATAATTAACCGTTTGTGTCAGATATCCGGCCCCCGATGTATATTCTATGGCCTATTGATTGGATTTTTTGACGAGCATCCGCGAGCGCGGTGCTTGTCGCCCGAAATGGCCACGGTGAACCACCATTGCTGGGATCGTACACCGATATTCCGTTTTCGTTCGGTCGATTGGAATTCCTGGGTAGATCGTGCGTGTTCGATTATTAAAATTATTGCAATTTCTGTGAACGTCGGGGCAACCGGTTACAGGCTGCGAAGCCAGTACCATGAAGAACTATATATGTAGGTAGGAAGTTGTGTGTAATGTACGAATCTCTTGATATTATCGTCGACGAATCAGTCGACGGTTCGAGTCGTGGCCGGGGCTATTTATTCCGTTTCATAATTAATTAACCATGAAGCTTAATCGCCTCGGGCAATGTTAAAACTCCCTGGTCTCTGGTGAACCACTCGCCAACGATTTTTCGACCTGATTTGTGTTATACACCTGTGTTTCGTTTGCTCCGCGAGAAATTGATTTTTCTTCTACGTTAACAGCCCGATCCAGAATCTATTGCAGATCTTACATTTTTAGAGACGCGATGTCGTAAGAAGAACGCGCGTTTACAACAAATATATCGAAAGTCATTCGGTAATTTTCATCTGTTTTGTGTTCCAGCCACACCTTTACCAACTCAGTAATGTTACTCCTTTTTATTCTATACGAATGATCGTCTCAGTTTCGGGGAATACAATACCGTAAGTTGTAGTATCCTGACTATCAGTGGTAACTTTGTCCCAGAGTCAGGAATGCATTATCTTCGATTTTACAGCTCTGCAAATTCTTAAAATTAAGTCGATTTGCACGTGAAAAGTTTTACGTAAAAATACCTGCGACAGAGCTGGAAAATCGTAAATGATCATTTTCTGACGGTGGGATAAAGTTGGCCCAACTTAAGGTACCCTAAACAATCACCATTTATAGCAACCGTGTATTGCAACACAAGACTCTACTTACTCGGAGAGGAAAGTGAGCTCAGGTGCGACGGCAAACCACCCGCGTAAGGAAGCGTCGTTAAGTAATTCCGTGGCATCGGTAGCCCAGGTGGAAAGAGTTTCGGGGCGGTAGCGGCCAAAGGTTGCTCCTGTTGGCCACTACTTCCGGCCCCGATCGAATGGGAGTCGCTTCCGGGCGAGGACGAGGACGCAGTGGCCCCCGAGGACGAGGATTTCGGTTTCGTCAGGTTCAATGGCGCGTCGAGGTCCTGATGGGGCGGCGCGGTGGGCGCCACAGCGGAGGAAATCGGCGTCGGTGACGATTCCTTCTCCATCTGCGTGGTCATCTGTGCCAGATGCGCCGTCGCCCAGCTCGGACCTTCCCGGTGGCTGTTGATCATCTGTAACAGAACCGTCATTGCAGATACGTGTATTTTTCGCGGCTGTCATCGCAGACCGTTATTTTTGCGCGGCCGTGGATTACATCCACTCGGAAGGAGACAAATTGCCACGATGACGATCGTGCTATTAAAACCTTGTCGCACGCGGATATTACTTATTTTTTTTTTGGAATACAATCATAGTTAGTTTCGGGACACTTTCTGATCGAGATTAACACGTTCCCTACCAGCATATTATTTCGAAAATGTTCGTCATAGACTATGCTAGATTTTCAGCATTCTATTCAATGGGATATCCTTAACTTTTTGATGAGACATTAAAAATACACAAAACAGAGACAATGACTGACTCGAAATATAGGTGAATATTGCAAAACCTATTCCCTTTTTTATCTAAGAAAGTATACTGACATGGAACTTGGAGCGTCACATATATGTGACGCTGGTAGCGAACTTGGTAGAAGATCAACTAGATCAGGCCTGGTTAGGCGCCCCTACTAGCTTGTTCTTTTGGGCGTAGGGGAATCCCCCTCCATAGCCTCAGGAATACCGACGAAGTCGAGGCAAACAAGCACGTGCGCATGCTCTGACTGTCCCCACTTCAACGCATAGTCATTATGTCCACGTGTGTCGCCAAGATCCAATGAATAGAGACTTCGAGAGTGTCCAAAGTGGGGACAGTTAGCATGCGCACGCATCCGAGGAACATGGAGCGGCATAGTGGGGAACGGATTGAGTGGTGGTGGGGATCGGTGTTGTTTGTTGATGTGGCCCGCGTGCCACTGTTTGGCCAGGCCTGAACTGTGTCTGGCTCCTATTTCGCTATTTGTTCAGGGATTCCTTGTGCACGTTGTCGTAGGGATAATTACGATAATTCTGGATCAGGTTTGCTAAGAGACGGTCAAACTGGAAGGGATATGGTCGTTTAAACCGCTGACTGCATTTCGTCGCTCGAGTTCTCAACTCCATTTTTAAAAAAAAAATTTGTTTAGTACATGATAATTCACTACTTTCCTGTTTTTATAATATTAAACTTCGTAAACTTGAAACTCAGTTTTTTCAGTTTAGAAACTAGCGGAGATAAAACAATTTCCAAACTGATGCGTACACATAAACGGAATTGATCAGGACGTTCTATCGTCTATAGGTCACTTTTACCCTGACCTATTTACCCCGTATTTACCTCAGATATGAGTAATCAGCTGGTTGCGAATAGACATAGGACTGTAAAGGGTTAATAATTCAAAAGGAATTCATACCCCGGAATTTTCACCCTATTAACCCCGAAATTGAATTTCTCCAAGACAGGGGCCAATACAATAAAATTCAGTTCCTCGTTTTCGAGTTCTTTCTTCAACCAGCATCACTATCTACTCGCGTACCGTTACAAAGCCTCGTGCACTTTTAATTCTATGGACGCGTTAATGTTTCACCGTCTCGTTAGCATGTATCCGTGGCGGTCGAAGGTTAATCAAAGGTGAACGGATTCGAAGGGGAGCGGGCGGGAATCGGAAAATTGGGTATACTGGCGGTGGTTTACGTACGTTGGCGATCGAATTGATATGTTTGTTGGTGGTGGCGGTGGACGTGGCCGACGGTGGCGGCATAGGCGATTGCACGGCGACCCCTCTGAGCTGTTCGAGAAACGGCAGGAACATCAAGGATTGCGGCCCCGACATGCTCAGCTGGCTCTTTGTCATCAGAGCTTGTAGCTCCTGGACGTTGTGTTGCATGATGTGCTCTAGCTGCCGCTTCAACTGCTCCGTTTGCAGCCGATGTATCTCGATTTGCTTCTGTGAGTCGACGGTCATGTGGCCAGGATACGACTGCAAAGCCCAGAGGACGAGCAATTAGAGGGACGGCAATGAATCGTCATCACCGGTGGGAAACAGAATGAAATACTTTTTCCATGGCCTTTGACGAAACCGCGACGTCAAGGCTATTCAGCCGTAATTTTTCTTTTTTGTTTTATTACGAAACTGTGTTCGAGGATCGTAGACGTTAAAATTAATTAAACCCCGCGGTTGTGGTTTCGAGATTTAATGGAATCTAGATCCGAGAGTCTAATGGAATTTAATTGATTCTTTTCCTTGTTTGATTAACAGGCGGATATTGTGTTTTTGATGAACATTATTTTGCAGGAATTGAGACACGAAACATTAATAGAAGTTGACACCGGATCAACATAGAAGGAGGTTATCTCCTTGATATAGTAAACACGTGCATAAACGGGGTTTAGAGTAATAACTATTTACCTTCCACCTATGATAACGGTAAAAAGTGGATTTTCATTAATATCGGAATCCCCTAGAATCAATTTCGTATTATCGTTTCCAGGAAATCATAATGAAAGGTGAGTGAAGCGGCGCGATATTTAAGTTGAATTGCCGGTTGTAACGAGTCGAACGGAAGCCATTGGGACGCGGGAAAGTGAGATACAAAAACGAATGTCATCGCTATAAAGTGATAACGACCGTCGTCGGGAAGAACTCTCGTCTTTAATCGTTCGCGCAATAATTACAGCGACTGTTTCGATATACATTCGCGATAGTATCGATGCTTTCAGCTCGTATCGGTTAAACAACTTTTTCGATTATTCAACGAGCGAGCACACACGCTCCTCTCTCGAAATCGTCGTTCGTACGGAACTTCCTTCCGCGCGCGCGCCTTATGCAACGCAGATAGTGCGGAACGAGCGCGTATTACTCATGCTTATGAAAATTCCACCAGATTCACGTGCTTGGCGTGCATTAGTTACCTTGTTAATCACCGTACCCACGCTTCACGGTAATCGTACCGCCAACGAAATGGAACAATATCTGACGTCTATGTATATTGTTCGAACGATTTGCATTCAATGCGCGTGAAAATGTATTGTGCACAACCAGACACACGAAGTTTACAATTCCCTACAAATTGCTCGTTATGTAATAATTGATGAAGAAGAACCTGAAAATGATGATACGAAGCCAGAGTTCAAACTGTTGAACCTATAATTCTTAATAACAGATATTTCCTCGATTTAACCTCAGAAAAAGAAAGTTTATTTTAGTTCCACAGAAGTAATGTTCTGATATCTCAATTAACAATAATAATTCCGCTAGAATACCATATGTTGCATTTCAACAATTCCCAAACTTGTCTTTCATTGATGGTAAAACCAAGACGTCCATTGATAGTTTTCACGGCAAAATCAACCTGTAAATAGATTACCCCACGAATCAGAAGGTTTACCGTTGTCCTCGCGGAGAAGCAGAATTTCCTGGTTACACGATTTTCTTTTCCAACCGGAGCCCCCATTAATCGGAACAAGTAGCCACTAGGATAGTGTAACAATTCAACATGGCTAATATCATTGTACTTTCCTACGACCTGGCTGTGGTCCAGATATGCTTGAAGTTTAAAATCTATTTTAGACGATAAGGAAGACGTTTATTCATCCAGCCTGGGCACCAGCTGAAACGTCACGGCACACGCGCGATGTTGGACGCGCGCGCCTCTGTCCCTCTTCCCTTGCTCGGGCTTTCCGCGCGCGATTATTAATCCCCGATCCCCGATGGAAGATCACGACGCGTGATTTACGGTCCACGCGGCTTCCTCTAATAACGGGACCCTACGCAAGAACAGAACGAAAAAAAAAAGACTGGACAGTGCAACCTGCAGTCGGTGTGTGTTTCCCTTTCCCTCGTGCAAGTGGCTCACCAACGTTTCCCTTTTAATCATGGAGAAGCTTTCGACGTGTTTTAATGCACGATTTTTAATTTGTATACAGGTATACAGGTAAACGCCTCTCGCTTTAAAGAGTAATAAAATATAAAAATATTATGTCATTTATACTTGCAAAAAATGATTGAAAAAAGAATGTATGTCCTACTTATGTATCATACTTTTACATATTTCGCCTCAACCGAAGAAAGGCTTCTGGATCCACCACTGGCGATAAAATCCACGGTCATCGGTGGGTTAATCACTACTTCCATATTCATTATTTTGTGTTAAGTTCATTACCAAATCAACAAGCTCCCCGTTTACGAGTTAGCTACCGATTTTCATTTCAAGACCAATACAAAAGTATTCCTCATAGTTCCAAACATAAACCCCGTACGTTTCTTCTTATCATCCCAACAGAACGCCGTACACGCTTCCCATCAGGGGGAACGGAAGGACCACGTGTTTGCTACGAAAGAAAATTAATCGATATCGTTCGATTAAATCGGCATTGTTCGTCCCAGTATTTCCTCCACGCCTCCTCCAGTATCGCGATACTCGATATCAGATCGAGTCGCAGATTAAAAAGACTCTGGATGGAAATCCACTCGTTAACGTTAATTATTCTTGTCGGTTCTAATTGCACGCAATCTTGGTCGTTTGCGATCACGCGCGCAAAACAAGAATACGGGATAACTTTGTAAAGATCGTGGAAGAGAACCAGCCAATTAATTCCTCATATTTCTCTCTCTCTCTCTCTCTGTTGTTTTTCTTGTTATTTTTCTTCTCCATCGAACGCTGTCATTTTCTTTGGTGGCGTGCGTCTGGTGGCGCGCGCCGAGGTTGGACATTTTTATCGGTGTCGCGCCAAGAGGGAAGAATGGCGGGCCGGCGTTCATTAACAGAATCGTCGACGGGACGAGCAACGGAGCCTCAGGAACGCGAACAATGCGCCACCCTGGGTGCGCCCGGACAATAAACTGGCCCGCGAGTAATTTCGGGAACAGTTCCGAACAGGGGCCCCGCTTATAATAATAATCGGGCACGGCCGTTCATGCCGATGGAACTTCATTATTCATTTGCAAAGTTCAGTTATGCCGATGATACGTATCCATGACAGCTATACCGCCCACAGTGGCTAAATATAAACAGGCGGGCTGCCAGCAAGTTCCATTCACATTCACATCCACACACGCGTGCGCCCTGCGCAGCGCGCGCGCGCGGTTCAGTAAGTGAGAGAGGCATAAGAATATGAGGAGCCCCGTTCTGAATATGCATCCGCGCATTGACGCCAACTGCACCGCCTAAACTTAGCCGCGCAATTACCGAAACATACCTACTCCCATAATCGCTCTTCGGCCGGTTATCCTCCCGCCACAGCCGCTGACTGGCTGTCCCGATCGAATTCGAAAACGTGGCTGCCGGTTTTGCCGCGCGTTTGCCGTCGTCACGTGGGAGGCGAGAACCGGCTTCCGGTGCTTCGAACGCCTATTGATTGAGCGCAATTGAGCGGAGTGGCGCTGGGATGAATGCGTGGGGATCTCGAAAAAGTGGCTTCTAGGGTAATTTCCTTGCATTGGATAACAAGAATAATTTATTTGTACATTTAAACTTGAAATGTATTGTCGAGGAAATAAAATGGGTTGCTGGAAAAGCAATACTGAATATTCTTAGAATATCTATGTAATGGACAGAATTCGAGGTTAAGTTCGACTTCTATGGTTTTCAAGATACTTTCAAACTTGATGATAAAATTCTTCAACAATTATTCCATTAAGTGGTAAATCCAGAATTTGTCGTGTGACCAGGAAAGAATAAATTGATGATGAAAATCGCCGTGAAACGATCCTTTGTCGCGAGCGGGGTAACGAAAGACGAAGGCTAAAGGCCACGGAAATTTGAATCTAGATTTAGAATCGGAGCCACTGGAGTGCAAGGGGACATGCAGGGTGACGTAGATCCACCGGAAGTGGTTCATACTTCACGTGCGCGTTATAAAGACTGTCACTGTGGCACTGTCTAAAATTACGACGGCCGAACCAACAGTGGCTTTAATACAAGCCGGCCTCGGTGAGAGAGGATCGTAGGGCGGAGGAAAGTTTCGTTCAACGATCCCGTATCGATAATTCCATTCAGCTTTTCTATCGACGGTTGATCAGGTCGGAGGGGATGGACGATCGTGTTGAAAAATTGAACACCGAATCGATCCATGAAACTTGCAAAATGGGAGACGAATACCCCGTGAAATATGCAGCTCGAAACAACGAGAGGAGAGAAACGACAAAGGGAGCGGTTTCGACCTGCACTCTTAATGGAATTTTAAAAGAGTGCCAAGCTAGAATTCGACGGACACACAGGGGTGGCCGCAGGGATACATAAATTATGGAGCAGCTTTGAACGGGGATTCGCTGCCCGGACCGCTGCAATGGAACTTGTGAATGCGGAATCTGGGCCAACCGGAAGCGGTATTTTCGTTGCGCGGGGCTTTTCCACGGGAAGAAGAGCGGATCGTGTCGCGTTATTGCCAGGAAGGTCCACCGGCCATCGAGCACGATATTCTTCTTCCGTCGCGACGGAAACGATCGGTTGAAAAGCCGAAGCCTGCAATTCCTTGCTTCCTTTGTGATCCGACTCGACGATATCAAATCGGTGACGAAATTTCAGACGAATCATCCTTCTAGTGTTCTCTTTCTTTCACCGTTTCTAATCGCCTCTCATCATTCTTTCTTGTGATTGTTATTAAATGAAATGTACAGATTTGCTCTGTATATAGAACTATTACTGAAATTGATTATGGTTATCAATGTATAGACTGTCTATGTCAAGTACTACCGATATAGAAATTACCGGTGGAAGGCTCTGCCGCTTCCGTTTCTGTATCCATTATCGATGGAGTTCGAGAAAATGGAATTGACTGCTATTTCTGACCGGTTTGACAGTGTAGGTACTAGTATTACTAGTTACAATATTCAAGTCCCGTTGAAGGGACTTTATATGTCTTTTGAGGATAGTGATGTTTGTTGATTCCTACCGATATATTGCACAGTACACAGGGTATTACTCCTTTTATCTAAATCGTTATTTAATGTAAGCAACCTATTCTAACATGTACACTTCG